CCCGCGGTGCGGTGCCGCCGCGCGGTGCTGGGCCCCTCCGAGCTCAGTCGCTCGCCTGCCCGGCGGCCACATCTGCCCCCTCCGCGCCTCCCCGCCCGGGGCACCGGGACGTGGCTGCCAGGAAGGAAGCTCTCAGCGCTGAATCTGGCCCGTGTCGGGCGGCTGAGTCACGGCCCCGAGCTGCCTTCTGGAAGGTCGCTCGCAGCAGCCTGAGCCAGTCCTGTCCTTGGTCTCCTCCACCTGCCTGTCTGCCGACCTGCACCCCAGTCCCCGCCCCCCCAACCGGCCTGCACCCCCGCAACCCCCCAGCCGCCCTGCACCCCAGTCCCCAACCCCCCAGCCAACCTGCACCCCAGCCCCCCCAGTGGGCCTGCACCCCAGCAACCCCCCAGCCGACCTGCACCCCAGCCCCCGCCACCCCATCCCTCCCCCCTGCCTGCACCCCAGTCCCTGCCCCCCACCGGCCTGCACCCTAGCCCAGGCCCCCCCCAGCCAGCCTGCACCCCAGCCCTCCTCCCTGCCTGCACCCCCTCCCCCAGCCGACGCATCCCGAGGCCAGCTGCATGGCTGCGGGTTGGCCGGCAGGGCCCTCCTCTCCCAACACCAGCAGAAGCAGGGCCCGGGCAACCCACAGCCTCCACACAGTGGGTGGAGATCTGGGTTCTTGCATGGAGGAGCAAGACCAGGCCGGGCCGCGCCAGCCGGAGGTCTGGCCATGCCCAAGGGTGGCCCTGTGGCCCAGCCCATCCGGTGGGACAGGGAGGGTTGCCCTCGGGCCAGGTGCGTCCAGGGCAGGGCCGGGAAGGCCGGGGGCTCCTGGCCAGGCCAGGCACTGGGGGCCCTTCGGCTCGTGGGACCAGAGGTGGGGCGACCCACACCTGGTTCTGGTTCTGGGTTCAGAGCCTGCGATGGAGGTGGAGGTTCGCCCCACATTGCCTGACCAAGCCCCTCTGTCCTGCAGGTCGGCTTGGGGGTCACTCTGCCGAGCCATGCCGGGCCCTGGGCGGCTGGCAGCAAGCCCAGGCCCAGCACCCAGCTGGCCATGAACGGCCACAGCCACAACGGCGGCCTGGGGCCTCTGGAGCCCGAGGCCAGCCGGCCTGCGCAGGGCCTGTGTGGCCCCCGGGGGCAGGCCCAGGAGGAGGCGGGGGACACAGAGGAGGAGGAGGAGGAGGACACAGGAGGGCCCCGGGGGACGGGGGCGCCCCCCGCGGCGGGCCACCGGCTGGGCCGCCGGCGCGTGCTGTTGGAGAAGCGCAAGCGTCTGGGTGACTACGCGCTCATCTTCGGCATGTTTGGCATCGTGGTGATGGTGACGGAGACTGAGCTGTCCTGGGGTGTCTACACCAAGGTGGGGACCCCCATAGCTCCGTCCTGAGCCATGCCAGTGTGGACTGGCCCCAGGAGGGGGGGAACCAGAGACAAGCGGGACCGAGGCCCCATGGGACTGGGAAGGGCCGGGCCAGGCCTCGGTGGTCAGTCCTGGCTGAATGGGGGGGGGTAGGGGAGCCTTTGCGTTTCCGACCTGCTGTCTGGCCCAGCAAGGCTGCCTCACCCAAGGCCTGGGTGGGGACACTGAGGCCTGGGGGAGGGGGCAGAAGCCAGCTGTGATGGCCTAGGGCTGGGGGGTGAGGCCCGAACCCCCGTCAGCTCACTGCTGCCTCCTGTGTGCAGGAGTCTCTCTTCTCCCTGGCGATGAAATGCTTGATCAGCCTGTCCACGCTCATCCTGCTGGGCCTCGTCATTCTCTACCACGCACGGGAGATCCAGGTACGTGCCCTCCCTCCAGCCTGCCCACCCGCTCCCCGCTAGGTCCTCCCCCATCGGGCACACTCGCTTCCTGATCTCCAGAAGGAAAATCAGACTCATGGGAACTCCCTGCCCCAGCTGGCGGTGTGCCAATGCCCCGGGCACAGCGTTGGTGCTGGCTGTCCAGCAGTTCCCGTTACAGTGGATGCTTGGTAGGATGGGGACCAGGACCCCATGGGGACCAAACTCTGTGGCTATTTAGGTCCCTTAATATCACTGCGCTGGGTTTGGGTAGCCCAGAAAATTTGCACACACCCTGCACATTTGCATAGATCTGCATATTTGCACACTACGCATTTGCATATACCATGCACTTTTGCATATACCATGCACATTTGCATAGGCCCTAAGTGCACAACCCTCTCTGGGTAACAAGGTAACAGTGTGAGTTGGCTCCCTGATCACCTATTCAAGGACAGGATCCTCTGCACTTAGTCCTCTGACACAATGTTGCTCCTGGTTGCTACACCGCATGGTCTCTGGAGGAAGAGACCAGAAGCCTGGTGCTCAGGGGTAGCACCACCATTCCCCTCAGCAGGGAAGAAACAAAGGCGCAGCCTCCTAGGGCTGAGCACCATGTAGCACAATGTGGGTGGAATATTACTCAGCAGTAACAAAGGACCAAGCTCTGGGGATGCAGGGACTGAGGAGCCTTGAATCTCACGGTGGGCAGGCACCCACCCCCAGCCTCCGTCCACAGCTGTTCATGGTGGACAATGGGGCGGACGACTGGAGGATTGCGCTGACCTGTGAGCGTGTGCTCCTCATCGCGCTGGAGCTGGCCGTGTGCGCCGTCCACCCAGTGCCCGGCCACTACCGCTTCACGTGGACGGCGCGGCTGGCGTTCACCTACGCGCCGTCGGAGGCCCAGGCGGACGTGGACGTGCTGCTGTCCGTCCCCATGTTCCTGCGGCTCTACCTTCTGGGCCGGGCACTGCTGCTGCACAGCAAGGCCTTCACCGACGCCTCCAGCCGCAGCATCGGCGCTCTCAACAAGGTCACCTTCAACACCCGCTTCGTCACCAAGACCCTCATGACCGTCTGCCCCGGCACCGTGCTCCTGGTCTTCAGCATCTCCTCCTGGGTCATTGCGGCCTGGACTGTGCGCGTCTGCGAGAGGTAACAGCGCCCTGGCCCCCCTCCCCCGGTCCCCAGCCCCGACCCCGGCTCCAGGCCGCACCGTCCCCGCCTCCTCCCTGACCCCAGGACTTGGGGTATCCCAGTGCGGGCCATCCTGGCTGTCTCCGAGGACCTTCTTCCGGCCAGCCCTCTGTCCTGGGCCACTGGCTTCCGGCCAGGGTGGCAGAGGCAGCCACGATTAACCAGCTTTCCTCTCCTCTGCCGCCCTGCCGGACCGAAGGGAAGACATGTGAGTCCCGGTGGGTCTCTGCCATGCTGCCCCCTGCCCTCCCCTCCCCATGCCCCCCGTCCTGCTCTCCAGGAGTTTAAGACTTGCTGCCACGGGAGGGCGCAGCCAGGCCTCCCCCGGAGTTCCCCTCAGCCGAGCCCGGGGACAGCGGCAGCCTCGTCGCCCACCAGGCCGGGCCCGGGCAGACCCAGTCCTCCCTGCCCCTGCACTGGGGGACCCTGTGCCCCCAGCCCAGCCCGGGCTCGCGGGGTGCAGCTGTGTCTGGCTGCCACAGCTGGGTGGCACAGCCGTTCCCACGGTTCTGTGCGGGACACCGCACCCCTCCCACCGAGGCCAGCCCAGCAGCAGCAGCCAGTCCTAAACCCTGTGCGCGCCGCTTGTCCCCTGCATGTCCATCCCCCCAGCCGCGTCCCCAGCTCTGTGGCGCCAGGGCAGGGGAGGGGGCTCTCTCTCGCTGTCCGTGGAAACCGCTGCTGTCCCCCACCTGCGGCCCCCAGTGTGGCCCGGCCCTGGGGGTGGGATGGGGGGGCTCCCAGGCTCAGCTGCACCTCCCGTACTTGGCCCGGCGCCCGCACTCCCTGCCATGAACCACTGCCCAGCCGGACCTGCGCTGGGCGCCCTTGGCACCTTCTGGAAGTCCCTCCTCATGTCTTCCCCCTGCCTGCGGCACCCCCAGTCCCTGGGCTCCACGTGTGGCCTGTGTGTCGGGGAGGGGCGCTCAGCCGGGACCCGGGGTCACGCTGTGCGCTGAGGTGCTGACTGCTGGCCCTGCCCACCTGCCCGGCAGGTACCATGACCAGCAGGAGGTGACCAGCAGCTTCCTGGGGGCCATGTGGCTGGTGTCCATCACCTTCCTGTCCATCGGCTACGGGGACATGGCACCCCACACCTACTGCGGCAAGGGCGTGTGCCTGCTCACCGGCATCATGGTAAGGCCGGCTGGTGCTGCACAGTCTGGCTGGGCAGGGCCCTGTGCTCCAGTGCCTCAACTTCCCCTGCCGTACCCACCTCCCCATCCTCAGCTTGCTGTTCCTTTAAGTGAGCAACTGCACCTCAGTCCGTGTCTGACGCTCAGGTGTACAAGCATCTCTAGTCCTGCTTCTGTCCCCCAAGTTGTCACTGTGTGCGTGTGTGTGCATGTGTGTGCGTGCGCACATGTGCTACACACGCTTCAACTCAAACTAGGCTCTGTCCCTGCACAAAGCTAGCCTTCCATCACTGAGCCACAGCACCACTTCCAGTTTCTGGTGGTTCATTGGAGATCAGAGTCTCAGGGCTTTTGTGCTCAGGCTGGCTTTGAACCATGATCTTCACACCTCAGCCTCCTGAGCAGCTGGGATGATGGGTGTGAGCCACGAGCACCCAGCTTCTTTTTTCCTTCCTTCCTCCTTTCTTTTCCTTCCTTCCCACCTTCATTCCTTCCCTTCCCCTCCGTTTCCTCTCTATTTATTGTAGTTTTGCTGCACTGCCCAGTGGGCTGACCCTGAACCCTTGGCCTCACTCAATCCTTTACCTTCTGAGCAGTTGGGACCGCAGGCCCCACTTGGCTGCGGTGTTCCTCTCCTCTCTCTGGGCCAGCTCCCCTGTCCATTTGGCCCATGTGCAGGGGTGCAGGCCAGCCACTGCCAGCACATCCCCGTCTTGAGCACGGTGCCTCTGAGAGTGGTTGGCTGTTGGTCAGTGCACATCTGTGCTGTGTGCTCTGCTTCTCTGTGGGCCCCTTGGCCGTTCTTTTTCCTGGCTGTATAGTATTCTAGGTGTAGATGTGTAACAGGTTGTTTGGGCCTGCTCAGCCGTACTTTTCTGGAGAAGCAGTTTCTCAAGCCTTTCTCTTGGTCAGGACTGCCCTCAGGCAGCCCTGCTCATGCCTGTGTTCACTTCACCTGGGCTGACCTCTGAACCCCACGGGGCAAGCGAGGTCGCTTGTGCTGCCCGGGGACCCAGGACGCTGCCTGACACCTGGGTCTCCTCACCGCCCCTCTCCGGGGGTGTCACACACCACCCTGCAGGGCGCGGGCTGCACGGCGCTGGTGGTGGCGGTGGTGGCGCGGAAGCTGGAGCTCACCAAGGCGGAGAAGCATGTGCACAACTTCATGATGGACACGCAGCTCACCAAGCGGGTGAGCGCCGCCCCCTCTGGCTCCCAGCGCCCCTCCTGCTTCCTCCCCGCCCTCGGGCTCCAGCCCCTGGCTCCCACCACACCCTCCGGCTCGGCCCCGCCCCCGGCCCCGCCCCTGGCTCCCACCACACCCTCCGGCTCGGCCCCGCCCCCTCCCGGCCACGCCCCTGGCTCCCACAACACCCTCCGGCTCGCCACGCCCCCTCCCGGCCCGGCACGCCCCTCCCGGCCTTGCCCCTGGCTCCCACCACACCCTCCGGCCCGGCCACGCCCTCCCGGCCACGCCCCATTCCGGCCACGCCCCTCCCGGCCTCGCCCGCGCTGCCCTGCGCCAGGCCTCGGGCAATGCCCCGACGTCTCCAGCCTGAGCAGGTTGACCGCTCTGTGCCTCAGTGTCCCGCGTTAGGCCCAGGCGCAGTGCACGGGGGTGGGCGCTCCGGGGGCCCTGTCCGGCAGCCCCGGGTCCGTGCCCGCCCTCAGGACCGGCCTCGGCCCGCAGGTGAAGAACGCGGCGGCGAACGTGCTCCGGGAGACGTGGCTCATCTACAAACACACGCGGCTGGTGCGGAGGCCGGACCCGGCCCGCGTGCGCAAACACCAGCGTAAGTTCCTCCAGGCCATCAATCAGTAAGTGCGGGCCCGGTGGCGGCGGGACGCGGCGGCTCGGACGGGGCGGGGGAAGGAGGCGGGGCGAGGGCCGGCGGGG